AACATGCACCTGTCTTTTCCTCTGTGTCTTTCTGTAGCTTGGCGACTCGTTTCTTCTCACGGCCAAAGAATACGTCATGGGCGGCTGTTTCCCAGCGTGCTCCTCTACTCAGCTATGGAAGGACGTCTTGGATCACTCGTTTCAAAGCATCTCTTGATCCTATACTTTTGCTGCAAGGTTAATCGGCTCAAAGGCCTTTCCAGCTTTCTAATAAGCACCTCTTCTCGCTGGCTGGGATGACCTGAGCTGTCAGGACTGATGAGAGAGCTCACATGGACTCAGCTAAGGATGCGAGGGAACCTCCCCGGGGATGGCACGGAGGCTTGAAGTTGAAAACCTTCGATGGGGGCTCCAAGGCCACAACGTCAACATGTTACGGTAATGATGGAGCTCCACACTGTCTGGAGGGTGCGTCTTGACAATGAACCCAGGTGATTCCTGCACAGAGAGCAGGAAAAAGGAGTGGGCTTGGTGGTGCCCTCTGCCCATGGCCACCGGACCCCACGCAATGGAATGAACAGCTCTTTCCACGGCAGACTGCTGTGACCCACAGGGTTTCTGTGGGGGGATTTTCAGAGCTACATTGCCAGGCCTCCCCTCCTGGTCCCCGGGGGTGGTGAACACAGGCTTCTAGTCACGCTCTTCCTCACTCCGATAGAGTGTGAAAAACGGCCACAGAGGCTTTGCAACTCCTCTCATCATGGAGTGGAGAAGATGTGTCTACCCATAGAATCTGAGCGTGACCTTGTGACTTACTTTGACCCCTGGGCCGTAAGAAAAGACGGTGCCTATGGAGACTTGGACAGTGCTGGACATTGGGCCCGGCTGCTGGGGACTGTTTGAGACCATGTGACTGGGCCCTGGGAGCCTCCCACAGGACGAGAGGCTCGTGTGGCTGAAGCTCCAGCTGTCCCCTCTCAGCACGACCTGTGAGGGAGGCCCTTGCAGACAGATCACTTCCCACGTCCCACTCAGACCAAACCACCTGTCTAGTCAAGCCAGAAAGCTAGGAGCAGGCATACATCTGTGCTTGTAAGCCGCTGAGTGCAGGGATGGTTTGTGGCAAGGCAGGCAAGGGGGAAGTGATACACTCCCCATTCCCACCAGGGTGTCCCCGGCCCAGCCTCACACTGGTGTTTCACCACGCAGATGACCCAACAGTCATGCGTGTTTCCTGGGAGTCGACCTTCCTGTACCAACTAGGCTTCCCTGAGATCGGGAAATCTCCTGGCTGTTAGCGAGCTGAGCTGGACGGCTAGTGGCCATCTGGAGTCTGGCCATCCTGGGAGTGGCAAATTGAGGGGAGAGTCTGGACAAGGAGATCTCGCCTTTGGTAAGGAGAGAGGTCAACAGAGAGGAGGGAGAACGGCAAAGACCTGGCTGGACCACCAGCAGGGGTCAGGAAGCTGGTGCAGGGCTGGGGGTGTTTTGTTCTGGTGTGCCCTCGGTCACTGTGGCTGGTACCCACTCAACAGCGACACATAATGACACCGGTGGTTCCCTCCTCGCTCATACCTCCCCCTCCCCTCTCATGTCACCGGGCACCAGAGCCCAGGGCCTTCCCTCCCCCGTCCTCTCAGAGGGGCCTTCCTGACTGTCTCTGCACTCTCTGAGTCTGCTGCTGTCTTCCGGGCCAGGGACCCACCTCTGCCACCCTCCATTTGCCAGTGTCTATTATCGTGGAGTTGTTTCTGACTCATAGCAACCTCAGGAAAGCGGTGCATCAGGGTTGTATCTTCTGACCACACTCATTCAATCTGTATGCTGAGCAAACCACCAGAGAAGCTGGACTTGGGGAAGACTGGGGCATCAGGGTCAGAGGAAGGCTTATTAGCAGCCTACCACATGCAGATGACACCGTCTTGCTTGCTGAAAGAGGAGAACTTAGAGCACTTGCTGATGAAGACCAAGGATTGCAGCCTTCAGGGTGCCTTACGATGCGATGTGAAGAAAACCCAAATCCTGACATCTGTACCAACAGGTAACATCACGATACACGGAGAAGAGAGGGCAGGTGCCAAGGGCTTTGCCCTGCTTGGCTCCCTAGTCAATGCTCACAGAAGCAGCTCGGCACACGGCATCAGACAAATCTGATGCACAAGATCGAAAAGCCAGGATGCTACTTTGAGGACGAAGGTGCGCCTGACAGGGCATTTTCCACTGTGACAGGTGGACATTGAATAAGAGAGACTGAAAAAGAATCGTTGCATTTGAAATATAGTGCTGGAAAAGAATATCAAATGTACCATGGGCTGCCAAAAGAACAAATAAAAATGTCTTGGAAGAAGTACAGCCAGAACGCTCCTTAGAAAGGCCAGGATGAGACTTTGTCTCATGTATTCGGCCATGTTCTGAGGAGAGAACGGTCATGGGAGAAGGAGATCAAGTTTGGTAAAGTACAGGGGCAGCAAAAGAGAAAAAGACCCTTGACAGGGTGTGGGCTGCCACGGTGACTGGACCAGTGGGCTCACACACGGCCACCAGTGTGAGTGCGGCAGGGCCCGCGTGCATTTCCTTCTGTTGCACACAGGTGGCTATGAGTAGGACCCTACTCGTGGCATCTAACAACAACAACAACAACAACAACATGATGCTGGGGGCTAGGCCATTGGCATTAGCAGCAGGGTTGCCCGTGAGGGACAGGTTTCAGGGGAGCTTCCAGACTCAGACAGGTCAGGACGAAAGATTTGGGCCCCAAATCGGTCAATAGAAACCCTGTGGATCTCAGCAGAACGTGGTCTGACCACTTGCCTTGGACCTGTCACTGAGAATGAGCACCGGAGGAAGACGTCACGTCTGCGGAAGTGGAGGGCCCAGAGGGAGAAGGAGCCCCCCAACGAGAGGGGCTTGGTACCCGCCACAAGGACGGACTTGACCATGCAGGCGATTGGGCGGGGGTACAGGATGGGTGATGTGTCACCCCGGAGGACATGCGTTGTCATGCACAAGTCACAGTCGATTCGACAACAGCCAGTGAGTGTCCTTCTTAGAAACTGGTGCATTGTGGGAGCCTTTTCAAGAGCAAGCGCCAAATTTAGAGCCACGCTTCAAGCTTGACCGGGAGATATATACCAGCAAAGGCCTGGCATGACCATGCCTCAACCCACAGAAGGGACTCCTGCGGTGGCAGGAGGCCCCTGGAGGGTACCTGACATGCCAGGTGGAATGAGTGCCAGGATGCACTTGAACCACGTGGTTGCATTTAGTCCTCATAGCGGCCAAGGGGGTCAAGTCAGAAGCTGGGAAAGGAAGGCTGTTTAAGAGTCACCAGTCCACACTGTTTGTCAGTGGAGAAATCTGGGAAGATTCAGACCCGACTCTGGAGAATGGGCAGCCTCCAGGTGGCTCTCCCTCCAGGCTGCACAGCCTGGAAGCATCTGAGCGGCCATGCCCACAGGCCCACAGGCAGAGGGAGGGCTGCTGGGGGAGGCAGGCTGGGGCTGTGCGAGCCAGCAGTGCGTTCATCTGAGTGAGGGCTGACCTGGGAGGCGGTGATGAAGCTGCGTTCCTGTGTGGCGCCTTTGATCCCAGCAGATGGCCTACCCTGTGAGCCTGAGAGCATGGAGGTGGAGGGAGGGAGGGCGGGAGGGAGGGTGGGGATTGAAGGCCCTTCTTCCTGGCCCCTGCAGTAGTGAACACAAGCATTTGCTCAGCCAGCGGCCCCTCACATGTCCTCCTGTTGCCGCCTGGTTGGTACAGCGAGCACATTTTGGGATCCTTTTGTAAAATCCCTTCTGGGGAGAACAACAGTTCTGGTCAGAGTTCTCCCTGCCCAGAATCCTCGTGGGATGTTGCAGGAGCCCGCTGCTCTGTGAGGGCTGGCTGGTCGCCTCTGCTGGGCCCTCTTACCTGGCCACTTCATCCCACCCACTTTCACTCTCTCCCAGCTGAGGCTGAGGAACAGAGCCAGGGACAGGGGTGACCATCTCCACCTCCTTCCAGCCTCCTTTCTATCAGCTAGGAGTAAATCTCATGATTAATATGTGCACACACATACACAGATGGAAATGTGCACACGCACTGTGTTAGTCTGGGTAGACTAGAAAAACATTCATAGACACTTATATGTGTGTAAGAAAGAGGCTTATATACAAGAGCAGTTGAATATTGAGAAAACATCCCAGCCTAGTCCAGATCAAGTCCATAAGTCAGATATTAGTCCATATGTCTGATACCAATCTATAAATTCCTCTTCAGACTCATGCAACACATACATTGATGCCGAATGCAGGAAGAAAGATCACAGGCCAGTAGGTGGAAGTCTTGTGGCTCCAGCGGCAGTGGAAGCATCTCAGCACTGGCAGGAGTCTCCACAGAACTCCATGTGTCTTGTCAGCTGCAATGTCTCCCAGGGAGTGAGCATGTGTCCAATCTCCAATGAGCTATTGGTCTCATTAGTGTCTCCAAATGAGGTCATCAAGCGGCGACTTGATTGACAGGCTAAACTCCACCCCTTCACTCTTAAGCCTCAAATTGACAACAGATTATGTAACTCCCACAAGTCCTCAGTTGCAACCAGGGTCATTGGTGTGACGCTGTGCTCGTGTTGAAGGAAGTCAGGATGCAGAAAAAGCACCTATGCCCACATGAATCTCCCACTTTGGACATCAAAATCCCTCCAAGAAAGTCCTTCCTCAAGGTCAAACACTGCCATGTTTGTGGGCGTGTTTCATTCTGCTGTGCACAGGGTCATTGTGAGTCAGAACGGGCTAGTTGGCATCTGACAACAAGTCTTTGAAACAAGATAATAGTGAGTGATTTATTTTACTTACAAAAGTAAAAGTGACCATGGTTGAAACTTTGGAAACTACAGGACAAAAGAAGAAGAAGAAAATACAAACACGTATATCACCATGAATATGGCTTTGCCCAAAGAAGTCAAGCCCTCCGCTTCTGGGGAGATCATCTCTCTCATAAATCCACTCATTGCCACAGAGTTGATGCCGACTCATTGGGAACCCAGAGGGCAGGCTAGAACTGCCCCTTTGAGCTTCCTGGTGGTTTTAAACTGCAGGCCTTGTGGATCACAGCCCAGTTCAGAAGAACACCACCAGCAGGGCTCCTGTCAAACCCAATAGGAATGTCTTTGTTTAGAGCAGAGCTGGCCTCCTGGCATCTCAGGGTGGAGCCATCCACACACAGCAGGAGTCTTGGGATGGTGCAAAGGACTGAGCCTCCACTGCTAACAGCGATTTTGGTGGTGACCCCACTAGGACATCCTGTGAATCCACGAATGGTGGTTTCAGCAGAAGCACCGTGTGCAGGAAAGGCAAATTCCTATCCAGAGTCAGTGTCTAATCCAGTGAGAACCAAACACTGATGGCAGTGGTCCTGCACAGTCCACCTGCCACCCGGTTGCTGGTTCATCTCCCCAGAGAGTGGTCCCCGGTCTTGGACTCAGTGTTGGTCTCTGCTGCTGGCTGATGGACACTGAGGGTGGCGTCGCCAAGTTAGCCTTGGTGAGCGGAAGGCCACGTGGCCGAGCTCATGCTTAGCCTCCATCTCACCCACCAGGGCCACTCTGTCCATGGGCCCGTTGGGCAAAGACCCGAGTGCCCGAGGCACCTTGGGAAAAAGGCCTTGTTGACGAGATTCTGTGTCCAGGGGAGGACATGAGAAGCCTTGTGTTTGAGACCTTCCCAGACCGTGCCCCTGCTTCCAGTGGTACGTCGGAGGGTGGTCTGGGGACCTCCTGACTTTGTAGTTGGTGTCAGAAGTGAGGCTAAATTTGGACACAGGGTTACCCACCAGCTGTGTTTGGGCTGGCATCCTGATTTGTCTTGGGCACTCAAGGAACAGAGATGCGAAGGGTTGGCTTTGGGTTGATGATGGCCCAGCGTTGGCTTGCCTTGGCCGTGGCTGAGCCGACAGCACCCTCAGGTGGACAGGTCTGCCGACAAAGACAAAAGCAAATGGTATTTGATCTGGTGTGTCCAAGGGACAGCCACCCACTGCGAGATCCTTCCTTCCTCTCATGTGCCCATTAGCTACCAAGGCTTTCTATAAGGAACGAAACCTTCCCGTGTAGCCTTGGTTCACCTAAAGCAGTGGTTCTCAAGCTGTGGTCTCGACCCCTCTGGGGATCGAACCACCCTTTCACAGGGGTCGCCTGATTCATAACAGTAGCAAAATTACAGTGATGAAGTAGCAACGAAAACAATGTTATGGTTGGGGGGTCACCACCACATGAGGAGCTGTATTAAAGGCCGTGGCATGAGGAAGGCTGAGAAGCACTGCAGCCTCGCTCAGCTCCGGGGGCCCCACACATCCCTTGGTGTGCAGAGACACGTCTTCACCGGGCTGTGCACCCTCTGTTTCCATGCCATTTCTCATGCCACTCACCCTGGTTCTGTCGGGCAGGAGCCCTGGTGGTGTAGTGGTTACACATTGGGCTGCTAAACGCAAGGCTAGCAGTTCGAAACCACCAGGAGTTCCCCAGGAGAGACAGAGCTTTCTACTCCTGTCAAGAGTTACAGTCTTGGGGGCTCACAGGAGCCGTCCCTGAGTCGGGATCAATTCAATGGCAGTGGGTTTCGTTTGAGTTTTGGTGTCTCTGCTATGCTAATGGACAGGATTAAGGTGGGAGGACAAGACCTGACCTTAGTAGACGTGTGAACCCAAGTCCCACTCTTTGTTTCCTTGGACTTTGGTCTGCTAAAACCACACCTCTCTCAACGCCATTCCTCTGTGTAGAAGAGCCGTCTCAGGGACAGAGGTACACGAGGGCCATTGGCAGAAGAGCACGTTCAAGATCGGTCTGAAGTGGCAGAGGCTGAGAACAGAGGCTTCAGAGACTGTGGCATGGAGACCATGGGACAGCAAAGGAGCAGCACTGAGACTGAGACTCTGAGGTCAAGCGACAGGCAGACTTCCTGGCCCATGGAGTCAGAGGCCAAGAGACTGTGTGGCTGAGAGGTGAGCACAGGAAAAAGCCGTGGCTGCTGGCTGAGGAGAGGTGCTACGGTGGATCAATGACTGCATACTTGTATCCTTACTGTTTCCTGATCCTGACTTGTAGTACCCTATTAACTCGCCCCATAAACCCCCTTCAATATGAGGATCATCTCTGAGTTCTATGTGGCCATTGCAATGGATTTTGGAACCCAGACCATAGCAAACCTCTAAGTTATGGTAATAGGAAAGCCAGAGGAGGTTGGATATGACTTGCGTCAGGCTATGGAAAAGCCCACTAGCCAGCTTCCTACTTCATGGACCAGCACCCAGCGCTGCATGGACACATCCCTGCTGGTCACCTGCATGCCCAGTGCCTGGAGGGTCCCTGGCCCCCACCTGGTGGCTAAATTTACCAGTGTACGAGGTTCCATGTGAGAAGCTACCGGGTCGGGTCTCTTCACCCTGGGCACTCAGGGAATGGGGTGGAGAGCCTGGCCACTGCCCTGGTTCCTAAAGGAGGCTGTTCACAGAGCCCGTCTGACTGCATGGGCTGGCACACAAGACCAGGATGTGGTGCAGGAACTGCCAAGTTTCTCTCTCCGCAGGGCTTTCCCTAAGGACTTTTGCTTTTTGGAGACGATGCTGTTCCAGGACTTGGCAGGACCCCAGGGGCCCCGGGCATAGGAGGAAGCTGAGATGTGTGTGTACTGGAGGATGCGTGGCTGTGTGTAAATGTGTGCCTAAGTCTATGTGTGTGAAATCCAAGGAAGCCCAGCACAGAGTCTGCTAAGGGGGTGAAGTGTGGTGCTATGGCGCAAACAGCGATCCGCTCACCTAATTGCTAGGCTGAAGGTTTCAAGCCACCCAGCAGTGCCACAACCTCACTTGCTGAGACCCCGAGTACTTGAGGTACTTGCTGGTGAAGATCAAGATGCAGCCTTTAGTGTGGATCACAGCTCAATGTAAGGAAAACATGAAACTGCACACCGGACCCACAGATAACAACATCATGTTACAAGAGAACATAGGTATTAAAGTTGGCAAGGATTTCATTTTATTTGGATTCACTCAATGCTCATGGAAGCAGTGGGCAAGAAATCAAAAGATGCATCGCATTGGGCAAATCTGTTGCACAAGATCTCCTTAGAGCATTACAGAGCGAAGATACCAGTTTGAGGACCAAGGGGTGTCTGATCGATGCCCTAATTTGCATGTGGCAGCTACACAACAAATAAGGAAGACCGGAGAAGAAGGGATGGGTTTGTGGTAGACGGTGCTGGCAAAGGCTACAGAAAGTGCCACCGGCTGCCAAAGAGCAAATAACCCTGTCTTCCAGGAAGGACATCCTCTTTAGAAATGCGGATGGTGAGGCTTCGTCTCCCGTGCTTTGGACAGGTTGTTAGGACGTACCAGTGCCCGGAAAAGGACATCAGGTTTGGTAAAGTGGAGGGGCAGCAAACAAGAGCAAGGTCCTCAAGGAGATGGCCTGGCACACCAGCGGCCACAGTGGGCATAAACACAGCGGCGTTTGAGGGACGACCCCGGCGCTGGCAGGGTTCTGCTCTGTTTTGTTTCAGGTGTTCTTGAAGAACTCTTTTGCCAATGGGGAGAGACGATGGCAAACCGTTGGATTTGAAGCTCATGTGCATCTGTGCCTGAACACGTGCTACATTTTGGCTATGTGGTCATTTCAGCAAAAAATTAACATACAAATCAGGAAGGGAGAAGTAGAATTCAAGGCCACAGTCCACATTGGAGGGCCGGGGGTGGGGTGGGGGGTGGGGTGGTTATGCATTGGGTTGTGCTCCGCGTGGCTGGCCAGTCTAAACCACCCACAGCTCTGGAGAAAGACTGGGCTTTCTACTCTGTGAACAGTTAGCGTCTCAGAACCCCAAGGGGTCCCTGTGAGTCAGCGTTGACTTGATGCCTGTGTGTTTGGCTTGGGGTTTATCCATATTGAGCTGGATTCAAGAAGAGATGGAAAATTTTACAGATCAAAAATGAATTATTCAAAGACGGGAAGTAATATTCTAGTATTTGCCAAGAGAGAATAACTGCTTAGAGGAAACTGAAATGCAAATGAAATGCCCACAAAGCTCAGATTATGCAAATAGCCCTTAAAGGTCAGTTTGAAGAGTAAGGAGGCTCTTTCAGGAGGTTATCTTGGTCCTAGAAGGGAACGGAAGCCGGTGCCTATGTCCCAGGGACGCAGGGGAGACAGTCAGCTGCCTCTTCTTTTGCCTTTAATAGAGGAGTCACTGAGCGGTGTGCACGGTCAACAGGCTTGGCTGCTAAGAGAAAGGCTGGAGGTCTAAACCCCTCCTGCGATGCCTCGGAAGCAAGGCCTGGTGATCTACCTTCCAAAAGTCACGCATTGACCACGCCAAGGAGCACAGTTCAGCTCTGACACGTGTGTTGTTGCCGGGAATCGGTGACCCCTGACGGCACTGGTGCTGCTAGGTGGGCATTTAAAGGCGGGCTGGCAGTGGGGTGTGAGTGAGAGTTTAAGTGAGGGGGATCCTCCTAGGCAAGAATTGAAGCTTCTCCACCAACAAACTGGCCTGGCATGACTTTTGTTGGTCCAGCGACCCTCAGAAGTCCCAATTCATGCAACAAAGAAACCTTCACGCAAAGGCAGACAGAAAGGGCAGCTCTCCTGCCCCGAGGTAGAGACGGCTAAGTGTGCTAAGAGAGTGGGTCTCTTGGAGCCGGAAGGTGACCTGGATAGGAGCATGCCAACCATCGCCTGGGTCCAGCTGCCCTGGCCACGCGCTATCGTCAAGCCTTCTACGCACTGCCCAGGGTCTGAGCATATCATCTCATCCCCACGTGCCCCAACGTCCCGTCAGCACAGGCCTGAGTCTGTACGCTCCCAGCACCATCAGACGTTTCGTGCTGCATGGAAGAGGGGGAGATCTGGAGTGTCCTTTGGCCAGTTGTTCTAAGACACATCAGAGACAAAAACACAGCCCCCTTCGACCCCAAGTAAAAACCGGGGGCTCCCGTCTGCTTTATCCGAAGCCCCACTCCGGGGTACACGGCCCTAGCAAAGAAAAAGGATATCACCTGCTTCTGTATAAGAATATATTATTGAAAAGACAGTTTAAAAATAAAAATGCTGTACATTGTCATGCCCCCCTGCATCCCTCCCTGCCCGCCCACTCTTCTTCTGTATCAGGGAGCCAAATGGGGCTTAGAAAACGGGGTCTGGTGGGTTCAGAAGTGGAGAAAGGGCGTCTCTCTGCTGAGGGAGTCCCACGAAGCGCTGATGGCCCCGCCAGGAGATCCCCCCGCGCCCTCTGCTTCCGTCAGGCACAGTCTGCTGGAAAGAGGCAAAGCGGGGGCTTGTTGTGGGAATCGGAACGGTGGAGACAACACTACAGATGTCACAGAATCACACACACCGCGTTTTGCCGCACGAGGTCGTGGGGCATATTGTGGAACACATTTTAGAGCCAAAATAAAGTGCTTTCCACCTTCTAGGCCACCCCAAAGTGAGATCTGATTAAAATAAGGAGCCGGAATGCACCGTTGCTTATCTACAGTGCTCGGTGGTGCTGTATTAGGGCCTAAGTCCCAACAGCACTTGGTGTGTGGTCTGCCGAGGGCGACCCGGCCGTGGGCGTCTTGACCCACATTGAGACCGCACTTGTCCTTCCTGACCGTTAACCGGCCCTGTGCAAGCTCTGCCCCAGGAGGAGTGCACGTGAGAGTAGACAGCAGGTCCCCGGGGAGCCCGGGCACGGGCAGGGTTGCCCCGAGGCTTGCCCAGGGAACTGGTGGAGCTTGCCTGGCATGTTTTTAATGATTTACCGAAAATAGCCGCACGCAATCTAAAAGCTGGGGTCCTGGGGGCTCTGTCTCAGGGACGCATGGTCACCAGTCCAAACCCCGATGACCCCACAGCCACACAATGGAACCATTCCTGTAAACTTTTTCACCTGCGATGGTGTATGTATTCCAAGCAGGGCCCTCTCCCTGATTCTGAAGTCTTGCAGGTGACAGTGATGAAGTCACCGGCCACCAGTCATGACTTTATGCCGACTTCCTTTGTCCCCCCCTCGTCTGTAAGAGCCCCCTGGCTGTGAATCAGCCGACTCCATGCTGGCCTCTGCACCGATGGTCATTGTCCTGTTTTAGGCTTAATAAAAGGGTCTCTACAGACGAGGTGGGAGCCCTGGTGCTCTAGTGGGTGGTGTGTTAGGCTGCTCACCGGAAGCAAGGTCAGCAGTTTGAAACCACCAGCTGCTCCTCAGGAGAAAGATGAGGCTTTCTACGCCAGGAACGAGTTACCCCCAGGGCCGGGTCTACTCTGTCCTATGGGGTCGCTGTGAGTCGGGATCAACTCAATGGTGCTTCATTCATGGAATATGTTTGAGTTGGGGTGTGTGTGTGTGCGTGCGTGTGTGTGTGTGTGTGTCCTTTGCTCTAGGAAGGTACAAACAGTTAGTGAGCGTGGCTGTTGAGAAGTGCCTCAGATAAAGGGCCTGGCAATCTGCTTCCAAATGAGCCGCTGAACACCGGGCAGCGAGCACCTAATTCTACCCTCACACACATGGGGCTGCCGGGGGTGAGTGCAGCTCAGTGGGAACTGGTTGATTTTTCCCTCGTGTGTGGAGCGGGCTCTGTACCCAGGTGTAGCAACGCTGCTGTGAGGTGCTGTCCAGTGTAAACCCCACGGCGTTTTCTGGGCTGAGATCTTCCCCGGTGCAGACCTCTCGGTCTTTCTCGCCGGGCGATCTCAGACTGCCAGCTGAGCGCTTGCCCACTGAGCCACCAGGGCTCCGTCCAGGCGACAGCCGTACTGATAGTCTTGCGTCTAGTTCTGAGATTAGGATTCTGAGGCTCAGGGGGCTGGAGACGCAGGCTAGGACCTAAGCTTGGAGGGGGAAAAGCTTGAAGAACCAGCCTTGCTGCCTGCCAGTGTCCGACCCAGCTTCCCTTGCAAAACCAGAAGCTAGTTTTGTCCTGAAACTCACTCGCTGCCACTGAGCCGGCGCCAACTCACAGCAACCCTACAGGACAGGGCAGAGCCGCCCCTGTGGATTTCCAAGATGGTAACACTTTCTGGTAGTAGAAAGTCCTGTTTTCCTCCCTCGGAGTGGCTGGGGGTTTCGAACTGCTGACCTTGCAGTAAGCAGCCCAACATGTAAACACTACCCACCAGGGGTCCTTTTTTTGGCCTGGGAGGCTGTGCAAACCAAAACTAAAACCAAAACCTCAAACCAAACTCCTGTCATCGAGTCAGTTCTGACTCACAGCCACCCTACAGGTCTCTGCTCATGAGGTGCACGAGCCTATCCGGAATCCAACCTGGTTCTCCAGCATGGAATTAGAGAGTTTGGCCACCGATCTACCAGTAAACCACCACGGGGGCCAAAGGCTTGTGTGTCACGCCACTTTATTTCATGGCCACCAAGTGGGCTTTGCTTTGACATCCAGGGATTCAGTGAAGGGCTCCCTATCCCTGAGCCCATTGGAAGAAGAGCTTTAGACATGTCTGTTACATTTAGTGAACGGAGAGCACTCTCTTAAGAATATCTAGTCCAGGGGTCCTCAAACTTTTTAAACAGGGGGCCAGTTCACTGTCCCTCAGACCCGTTGGAGGGCCGGACTATAGTTTAAAAAAACACTATGAACATATTCCCGTGCACACCGCACATATCTTATTTTGAAGTAAAAAAACAAAAGGGGGAAAAACACCCGGCGGGCCAGATAAATGTAGTTTGAGGACCCCTGATGCAGTCATTCAATTTCCTTCTGTTGTGAAATAAATTGGGCATCCCCAGATCTGTGCTGCGGAACCTAAGGACTCTGGTGGCTCTAAGGCACCCTGGGGTGCAGTGGCCAAGCGTGCCGAGGCTGATGGAAAGGCTGAGCGAGGTGGCAGTCTCCTCCATGGGGGTGGCGGCAGAGGAGGCCCTGCGGGGCAGCTCTGTTCTGTCGCAGGGAGTTGCTTGAGTTGGAATCAAGGCACATGGTAGCAATGTCAACAACAACAACATAGTGGCTAAAATCCCATGAGGGATGGGCTTTCTCTGTTATGCTTGAAGCTGCCCTCTCTCTCTGCCATCCAGTCGCTGCTCCACTGTGGGTTTCCGAGACTGGAACATTCAAAGGCTCCGTCTTTCTCCCTTGGAGCTGCTGGTGGTTTCTAACTGCCGACCATGAGGATCGCAGCCCAAGGCGTACCCTCTGTACCACCAGGCCCGTTCCTAGTGAGGTGGTGTTAGCATTGAGAGTGCCTGAAGTCAATCCCCTTTGAGACACTGACGAGCAGGTGTGGCAAGCAGCCAACAAGCAGGGATGGGAGAAGACAGATGAGATGCTATGTCACAAGAAGCTACATCGGGAACCCAGGAATAGACGTGAGCGACAAAGGCCTTCCCCAGAGCGGGGACAGAGACTAAACTCCGAGAAAGTACATTTCTGTTTGTGAAAGCCACCCTTCTGAGGGATTTGTTACAGCCGTGCTAGCTGACTTCTTCCTCCCACAGATCTGGAGTCCCTTCCCCACGGTCATCGAAAGGTCCGGCTGCGCTGAGAAGTGGACTCAGGAAGAAATGCATTACCTTCCGCTTTCCCCGCGTCTCCGCTCTTTTCTCTCGAGTGCGGGGTGCTCCCCGCGGCCGGACTCTCAGTCTGTGTCTGCAGCTAGGACAGAGGGTAGAGGCGCAAAAATGAGGCTCTGGTCAGTAAAGGCCTCTCTTTCTAAGAGTTTCCTCCTGACGGAGCGGAGACCTGGGTGAAGCAAAGGTTTGATATTCTTGGGTGCTGGCGGAGAGGTGGGAGGTTGGAGCCACCTGGAGGTGCATCCGAAGAAAGGCTTAGTGATCGCCTTACAAGAAAACCCCCGGCTTTGAACGCTCCACAGGGCTCAGCTCGACTCTGACCCGCGTGGGTCTGGGATGAGTCAGAATCAACGCGCAGCAACAGGTGGGGTTGGCGGAGAACGCCAACATTGTGAGGGCAAGACTGGCGTCTGAAACCTCAGTGTGCCCGAACAAACACACCTTGTGCTTTGCACACAGCAGGTGGGTGCACACAACCTGCTGCGGAGGGGCGGGTCTTCCCCGAGAAAACACCTGGGATGCAGCTCCTGGCAATGGGGAGAAGGGGCAGGGTCTGCAGATGGAAAGACTTGGGTCGGGAGGAGGGCCCCAGGCGGGGGTGGAGGTCGGAGCCATGGGGCCAAGTCTGCACTGAGTGGGGAGTCTGCTTGTCCTGCACCTGGAGAGCGTGGGGAGGGGGCAGGGTGTAGGAGAGGTCAGTAGGCAGGGCCTCAGTCATCCCAGGCAGCAGGAGGCCCTGATACACAGAGACCTGTACACCCCGGGCTCCTGACCTGGCTGGATAGGCTCACTTGGGCTGTGAATTTGACTGCTGAGAAACACTCACTCACCGAGGGGCTCTCCTGACTCAGCCAAATCAGGGAGCAGCCAGGCCGGGAGGCTGGTGGGGGGCTACTTTGTCCTCCCTCGGGTCACAGGAGAGCAGTCGTGGCATCCCTTACGCCCACTGCCTGCCACCCACAGCTCCCACTGAACAAGCTCAGTGGTGGGGGCAGGGAGGGCCAGGTCTCACGGTGCACCTGGCAGATCTCTGTAAGCCCTGGCAGCTACTTGTCTTGGCTGTCATCCTGTAGAGGGCACAGGCCGGCACCGTATTTATTACGTGGCTTTTGTCATTTCCAGTGTGCTCCTGTCCACAGGGAGTGCTGTGGATTGAACTGTGTCCTGAAATGTGTGTTGGAAATCTAACCCCTGTGCCTGTGGAGCACCGGGGGGCACTGTCGGGTAAATGTTGGACTGCTAGCCACAAGGGTCAGCGGTTCAAACCCACCAGCCACTCTTTGGGAGAAAGATGAGGCTGCCTGCTCCCATGAGGATGTATAGGCTTGGAAACCCTGTGTCGGGTCACTGTGAGTCGGGATGAACTCGATGGCAGAGGGTCTGGTTTTCACCTGTGATGGGATCCTGTCTGGAGACAGGATTTCCTTTATTATATTTATGAAGTCCTATCAGGGTAGGCTGGTGTTCCAACCTCTTCCTTCCTTCCGAGATGTAAAAGGGCAGGTTAGGCACGGGGGAGGTTAGAGAGGTGGAGGACAGTCACCATGTGAGCACTGTCCACTGACCAAGGGGCCAAAGGACAGCCAGGGTGACGGACAAGGGAGAAGACCCTGATTCAGGGCTGTCGCCTCCAGGATCGTGCGATGTTCCATCTCTGTTCTCTACAGCCCCCCAGAGTTTCTGTCACAGCTGGACCTGGCCACCAGGAGAGGGGGTTGCTTCAGCCAGGGCACACTGGGCACCAGGCAACCCTGGAGTCCAGAGCAGGGAGTGGTGCGTACCCTCCTTCTCAATCACGAGCGCCCCCTCCCCGCCCCCGCCCCATGACCTACCTCCTGCACAGCATCCTCCCTTTGCTTCAGCTCCTCGTAATGGTCCCTGGACTCCCACAGGGGCTGCAGCATGCTGTCCTCCACCACGGGGAAGAGCT